ACAGCTTGATCCCTGGCTTGTCTGACATCTAGAAAACGGGGTTGGATAAAGGTATGTAGACATTTGACTTTCTTCCTCCTCCTCTTCGAACTCACACTTGTGTTCATTCCTTTGTGCGCTTGAGTGGCAGAGCATTTATGCTGCGAATAATATTTACATAGTCTAGCGAGGACCACCAACTCAGTGCTGCTTACAGTGGCTCGTACACACACACACACGCTCGTTCGCCGACACCAATGCATAAATCACAGAGAGTTGACCGGCGAGACGTAACCTGGTTCCAGCACTAAACAAGCAATTATAATGCAATGCCAAGCATGCGATAGCGCGCGTCTCATTCATCAGCCGTGCTGCCTCGGTACAAACAGTCCTCCCTGTCACCACCAACCAACACATCTTACACCATCAGCCAGAAATCAGAGATGTGATCAGCGCGCAGGGAAAAAAAAAAAATGCACATGTGCTGACCATAGGAGCATCTGCTTCATCGCAGCCTGCCTCAGCAGCCCACTGCAGCATAATCCCTGCTCCAGCGCTGTGAGCAAAACGGACTTGATGTGATGCAAAGCCAATATCTGTCAAACAGCAGGCTGCCGAGTCATGTGTGTTTAGGTCTGCGTGTTGATCTGGACTCATTTTTAGACTCTTTCCTCACTGCTTGCTCTAATTTGCCCTCATTTCTGATAAAAATGCTTTGTCTTCTTTAAAGATTTCCATCGCATGTAAAACTTTGGAACAAAAACGTGTGAAAATAAGTTCAATAATTATTTGTCTAAACTATCAAAAAAACAAATGCATCCCCTGTTCTTGTATTTAAAGAGCACAAGAAGAAAAACCTGGCTAAAAGTCCTCCCAGTGCGGATTGTCTGTTTAAAAATACACATTCGTACAATTTCCAAACTGCCAATTCATTCCCCATTAAGTTATTTTCCAAACACATTGGTAGAATATTTCAACATCACCGTTACCCACTGCCATGTTCCACATTTTCAAGACTGGATTCTTTAGCACCTCTACAGATGTGACACTGTGACGCTAATCCCCCAGAGGAGGAAAAAAAAAAAAACTCAGCACGAGTGTGGTGTTAGCGACAAAACTGAAACCTTGAAGCTGGTAGAGATGCTTTAAGCTGCTCAGGGACACTTGGTGGAGCAGATGATGGTTGACGTGCCACTTTGTATCCGAGAGCCTGAGAAGGTCTCCGTCACTACCGGGCTTTTCCTCAAGGACGAAGACACACCAGTGTCCTCATCATCCCACTTCAGGATCTAAATGGAGGTGCAATTTTTACACAGGAGTTCATGTGAGACAAAAAGTTTCTCTTTATGTAATTCAAATAAGGCCCGAATTTCCAAATATTTGGCAGAACCGTAGCGTTATAAACCATAAAATAGGCCATTCAACATCCTGCATTTGCCTGACCAATACATCCAACATGATACCAGTGCCTATGTCGGTTGATATAAAAAGAAACGGCAGGAGGGAAGAGTTTGAGGTAGTTTAGAAGCACTATTACATCATTTGTCCACTAGCGGGCACTGATACGTTTTTAACTATAAGTTGAGAAGCTCAGTGTGCATCTTGGTCACAATTCTTATCCAAGACAGTCGCAAGGTATCAATAGGATGCATCTTTGCTAACATTGGGGACGAAAAGTCTGGACAGAAACCTCCGCTGCACCAGTTTTGACCTTTTCTGGATCAACCTGCCTCTATCCAAGTAAATACTAAATCATAGAAACATCCCTTTAATAGCGAAAGTTAAATGAGGGGTTCAGTGCCAAAGCGGGCCAAATCTCAAAAAATTCAAAGATGAGTTTTATGTTTCTTTGATAAGTGTTGATGGTTTACTAGTTGGTGGCAAAGTGGTCCAACCAAACTGGGCCAAGCCACAAGAAATGTTGATCGTTATATCGTAGGTGCACGTGTTTGCGATTCAAGATGGCGGACAGCGTGACCTGAAGCCCCGTGACAACCCAACTCATAGGTGCGGAAAGGTAAAATAAAGACTTAATTAACCAACACCAAGCATCTATTTCTACCCCGTGGCCCTTAGAAGTATCTCTAGTTCCTTATGATGTAAACTCTTCAGTGCTGTTTAGCGAGACAAATCTTGAATCTTTTTTTTTTTCTCAAAAAGTAGAAAATGTGGTATGACCCGCTTTGGCACTCAGCAAAAGGAAAGACAAAATTAAAACTTAAATAAGTCATCACAAAGTAGCTGTTTCTATCTGGACAGTGTTGGAGCATCTTTGGATGCATATAATGACTCCTCCATAGACCAGGACTGTTTGTTAGCAACACAAAATTTTGACCCCATTTTTCTCTAAAACTCGTAAATGTGGTTTGACCCACTTTGGCAGTAACCCCGTCAAATGTATGTCATTTCAAACACATCACTGGCCACTGAGCAAGACATGACAGAGCATGCCGCTCACACCTTTTGTACCAGAGGTGCATCAAATCCTCCCTCATAAAAAAGGCAGTTTACCAAAGCCAGGTAACATCAGACCCACCTCTCCCCGTGAGGAAGACTTGGGTGACGCAAACTGACCTATTCAACCGGATCATCATCATCATCATCGTAGCTTCGACCCGCGTCACAGCACCAGCCTGAATGGGGTATGAATCATCAACTCCACTTTCTGGGGTGATAAGCTCTCACTACGAAGCCAAGGTAAATAAGTCTTTTCATGCAGCTTTGAACTGCGGTGCATGATTTATTTTTACCTTTTGACTTTACTGAATAGCACAAACACTGGAAAAACTGAAGCCATCAGGTTGCCACTGTATCTGGCTGTTTATCTACCCGTCTGCAGCATCTGTTTCTTCTCCAACTACAAACAACTTGTCAATTCACCTCCAAAAGCTCCACTTCCACCTTCCAAGCTGCCACAGGACTGTAAAAACACACACACACACACACACACACACACACACACACACACACATTGGGAGTGAAAACATCATGCGCTGCTGTTACAAAATCATCTGAGGATGCAGCCAGAGTCTGGTGCTACCATATCTACCCACAGTACCTGGAAGGTTTTCGGAGAAGGAACACGTTTACATCCTAGAAATGTGCTTGTATATTTATACTCTCCCCTTCAAATGATATTCTGGGGACACAGAAAGTCCTTAAGGAAATGTGACTCAGGTTCTTGATTTTGTTTCGACACCACCCACTACTTCACCACATCAGGATTTGAAAAAATATATATACATATTGCAGTGGTTCATCTTGAAGTTCTTTTCATAGCGCTTGGATTTGGATGCACATTATGTTCTTCTGTGTCTACGCTCCAGTGTGTTAAAACATCCCACAGATGAAAATTATCCAGGCAGGATGTTCGGCTGAGGGGTAATAATAGACGGTAAAGCAGACATGAGCACCTAAAAAGACATTTTACTTAGACTAGTTGGACCCCAAGTTAAATTATAGTGATAGACTTTTTAGTACAAAATGGCTGCCAGAAAATGTCAGCAGAGGAAAGCTGTTACCTCAAAGATAGTATTTATCTTGTGCAGCGACGGCTGATTAATGATGTCCAGCTTGAAACACACAGGGCAGATTTGTGTTTGAAATCCATCCAAAAACAACTCAAAGTGAATGCAACCCATCACTTTAAAACTGCACTTGTACAAACCTGAAAGCCAAATATGAACAAATGGAAATGCAGAAATGATGCCAAGCACAACTCCAGATGACTTATAGGGAGACTCCAAATCATCAGTGGAACAATGTTATCAATGGTGACCAGAAAAGAGCACAATGTCCTGCAGAAAACCCTTTGGAAACCACAAGAGTTGATGTTTTACTTTACGCTTAAATCACATGAATGATGATGACGCCTCCATACAAGTGTATGCAGTAAATGTGTTTAGAAATCTGCATGAATGTCGACACTTTCGATTCCAAAAACACAAATAAAACTGTAAAATTCTCTCAAATAAAGCAAACTGGATGCTAAGTGGTTCCTCAACCACAGCGCAACACGATTTGTGCTGGATGACCAACTCACATGACATGACAATATTATTCTTTTAGCCAAGCACAAACCAATATACAAAGGCTTCAAATGTAAACCATCAGCAAGGGTCAAAAACTCAGAAAAAGCAACATCTACAAAAGATGAGTAACAAATTAAAGGAAAAACCAACATAGAAGGGCTTCCTAAGGTGTTGGGCCACCACGTGCCACCAGAACAGCTTCAGAACACCTTTACATTGGTTCTCCAAATCGGTAGAACTCTACTGGGGGGGATGGAGCACCATTCTTCGAAAAGATATTCTGGCATTTGGTGTTTTTATGTTGGTGGTGGATGGCATCATCAAGTAAATTGGTCCAAACTTTCCCGTAAGTGTCGAACTGGGTTGAGCCCTGATGACTTCGAAGGCCACCGCATATGATTTTACTCCCATTCAGTGAGTCCTTGTGCCTTGTGGATCGAACCATTATCATCCTGGAAAACACCACTCCCATCAGAATACAAATGTTCTGAACAACTTTGCATTGATTTGCAGTGAGCTTTCCTCTAAGAGAGCAAGAGGATCCTAACCATGCCAACAAATACCCCCCATAGCAGCTCAGAGCCACCGGATCCTCTACCTCCAAGGGTCTATCGTTCAGGTTTTTCCTTTAATTTGTCACCCATCTGTACTCCCCAAGATAAGCTCAAGACAACTCCACCAAGAGTGCAGCTATGCACTTCATTACGAATCCTGTAAACCCAAACAATGGACAACGGACTGGACAAATGACCTGTCAGGTTCCAGCAGCGAGCAGTCTGCCACTGGTGCTTGTTTAGTCATGCAGTAACAAGCAGGTTGCTAAATTTACATGGGAGGTGCACAGCTTTCAAAGCCATTAACACCTAAACAGCACCGTGTTTAGATGTGTATTCTGAGCTTAAAAGCGAATCATACACTTTTGAAATCAAGCGATTTATGTAAGCGTGCCGATACTCACGCACAGACTCAAGACTGAGGACGCAGTCGGCCTTACCAGCTGCCGGGTCTCCAGCATGTGAAAGGATATGGGTTGCAGACTATGCGAAGACACCAGTTGCGAGGCCTCGTTGTTTGCTTTAAGCAGAAGAAGGCCACGGGGGCCAGGGCCGGGTACGGCTGCTGCTCCTCCTCCTCGGAGACGCAGTCTGGATCGCGGATAGGAGCCGTGATGCGAACTCCCAGCGTCGGTCCGACTTCCACCTCCAGCTCCGGTTCCTCATCTTCATGAGGCTGAACTTCAGGACTCCATTCATCTCCCGCTTCTCCTCGACCGCCGCTGCTTCTCCTCCTCCTGCGCCTCCTCCCCCTTCTCCTCCTCTCCACCTTCTCCTCCTCTTCCTCCTCCTCTTCTTCCGGGCTTCCTCCTGGGTCAGTGTCACGACCCGGGCCGTCATTCCTGTAGGGCGTCGGTATGGCAAGCCTCACCTCCTCCTGCACCTCCTCCTCCTGCTCCTGGCACTCGGCGTACTGAAAGCGCGCTCTCCCCTCGCCATCAGTCATGATAGAGCATCAGGCAGAGCCACTCTGAGGGGGAGGTCAGAGGGAGAGAGGTTAGCGGTCGGGTGGGTGGGGGGTGACCAGCGGTGCAAGGATGCAGGCGGAGGAAAGATCATTTGCAAAAGATGCAGAGAGAAGATGGTGAAAGAGAGGGATCAACTTAGCAAAGGGCAACTGGAGGCAAATCACACAATGAGCCAAACAAACAGTCGGGCCGTTTGCTCCTCCAGTCCCTCAGCAGCACAAGCGCTTGCTTCCGATCAATAGAGAACACAGATTTTCAATATTCGTTTACTAACCTGGCAATGCTTCAGGCTTTTCGTGAGCTTTTTTTTGTTTTATTATCTTTTGCCAGCTCAAACATTTCTTCTGTCTTTCAATCTACTTAAACTGAAAAAGAACATGTCAGAACACTGCATAAATGTGACATATATGATAATATTAACACAGTAAACCTACTGTTCATCACAGTTTCTGCTCTTTCAGTGACACCAAATAGTTAGAAATGCAACACATCCAGTGCAATGAGGATAAAAATGTAAAAAAGCTTCCACAGAATAATAATGTGATATTATGGAAATAGTAGGTTTTTTTCCCCCCCACTCTGTCTCCCTCTCTCTTCCTGTTGCTATGTGATTGAACAGATGGACTGCTCTGTCTCTGGTCTAGTGAAGGTTTTTTAGCCCACACCACGCAATGGTGGGCAGGGAATGCGCCAAAAAAAAAAAAAAAAAGGAGGAAAAAAAAGAAGCAAAAAACGCCACTCTAATCCCGATTATTATAATAAGTAGAATAACGCAGAGAACAAAACATTAGTCATCATAATCCAGCTAACAGACTTTTCTCTTTTAAAGGGGTTTTTAATGGGCTTTGTTGTCCGTCGTTTGCGTAAAGAAAAAAAAAGCGCATGTGACGCTCCAGGCAGTTGTATGCTCTCCTCAGGGGATTTTATCACAAAGAGGGGGAAATATTAGACATACTTTCATGGGGATGGCAGTTGGAAAGTACTTAGATGCGAATTTTAAACGGTGTGAAAGGAAAGCAAAGCTCGCCTGGTGGAATGGAGCGCCCATCACCTGTGCGTTTAAGAAAAAAAAGTGGACTGGATTTGATGTGTGTGAAACCATTACATGCAAATAGAAAACTTTCATTTTTTTGTCTTTTCAAAATACCTTATCGAGACGGAATCGGAAGTTCCCATAAGCATGATCCGTGACTTTCCGTCTTTCCAGCGCACCCAGCCTTTCTCAGCAAGCCGGAGCTTCCCTTTCTTTCTTTCCTTCCTCTCTTCTCTCTCCTCAGACGCACGCGAAACAAAACAAACAAACAAACAAAAAAAATGAAATAAATCTCCTTCTTGCTTTGTTAAAGGTAATCCGAGAGTCGTCAGAAATCTCTGGAAGTAATCAAAGAAGTCACTCGAAGTGGTCTCGATCTGCGCGCTCGGTTAAAGGGCAACATCTATCCACATCCGTGCGTCTGTCCGTCCGTCCGTCCATCCTCGCCGAGGTGCTGCTGGTTACGCAGCGTGGAGCAGGAGATGCGCGAAGGAGGGTCGGACTGCGTGGGGTGTTTTTTTTTTTTTTTTTTTCCTTCTTCCCTTGCGGTGCTGTGCTGAAGCTCCGTGGACGATCCGACACTGGAGAGGAAAAGGAAAAAAAAAAAAGAAAGAAAAAACTTGGCCCAGGACCCGGGAGCCCTGACACGTGACGTGATGACCGGCTATGGAGACGTAGCGCGCACCGGGAGACACACACATGCGCGCAAAAATAAATATTAAATAAATAAATAAATAAATAAATAAAACGCATGAGGAGCCAAGCCGAGGCGCGCACGCACCGCGGTGTTTAATGGATCACCATGCAGTCAGCAGAGGATAAGGAAGCCTGCGCAGTCTGGCATTATTAATATTACAGTCAGATCAGTCCTGTCTTGTATTGTTTCCCTTTTTTTTTTGTTCTTCATCTGGTTGGATCACTTCCTACATAGAACACAATCCACTGATATGTGCCTCTTCTGGGTAACATTAAGTGCTGCACTGCAACACAAAGGGATAGATAAGGGAGATGAAGTGTGTTTATGTCTCCTATGTTTTCATAAAAAATGATACTTCTCCAAAGAAAGGAGAAAAATGACTAATTACTGGAACCTGTTGGGTTCAGTTGGAGAAGTTTGGCTTTTCAACTTCATCTGGAGATGCTTGAGATAGAAAATATAGATATTTTTTTAACCTGTGCAGTGGCCACAGTTGAAACTGCAGATCACAAAATATGAACGCACCCAATTTTATCTTATTTTTTAACCTATATACAAAAACAAATGAAAACGCATGAATATATTTTTCTGATTGTAACAAAAAAAAAATGGTCCATTAAATCCACCACCAAGATTAAAAGGCTCAGTGAACTTCATTAAATTGATAAAGCATGATTAAATGCCATAAATCTATTCATATTTGATTAAAACTATAAAACTCCATATGCTACTGAGCCGCTTTGCATTAGGGATCCAAACCAAACCGGACAGAACTGGTCCGGTCCACGTTGTATTCTGCCAGATCCGGGACCTAATCTGGATCTCTAATTCCGTTGAGTATTTGCAGCCAAAGAAGGAATCAAAAATGCATGGAAACTTGTGAAGCACTAAATTGAAATGAAAGTGTCATAAAATGTGCTTCCACAGCAGCCACCACAGAACACGGAGTTCATCCATCCGTCAGCGAGCGTAAGAGGTGTGCTAAACTATGTGTTTTGATATTACTGGAGCTGCTAATGTAATCCAGCTAAAAGCACCGACATGAATGTTAGATTCATCTTAAATATTATATTAGTTCATGAGTATGTGGTGAAAACTTGGACCAACACTGGTAAAAATGCATTTTTCCTCCTTAATGGAACAATTAACTTGTTATATTAAAGCTTGATTTGTAGAAGACTAACAAAAAAGAAGAAAAAAAAAAGCTTTTGTTTCTGTATTTCCCCATAATCAACGTTATTTTTCACATTGGGTTGGGCGTATTTGTCACAGTTCGGTGCCTGTATTCAATCAGGCGGCGTCTGCATCTGCACCACGTCAACGTCTTTATGGGCAATTTGATTTGACAATCAATTTAAACTCCCGAGCCGCCCGAATGATCAATCACAAATACAAACACTATAGCTAATGAACAAGCAGAGAGAGAAAGAGCGACGGAGAAAGTGGAAGAGGCGGGGTGTTAGATGGAGGTTTTCGCACTGGGAGAGGGTTTTAGTGCTGCACGGTGCTTTGGAGCCCTGGGTAGCCCTCCTGTCAGGGCCCATGCTGCTAAAACCCCGCTGACACCGACTCCGCGAGAAGAAACCTGGCAGAAAACTCGACAGCAATTGACACCAAGACTGGGGAGAACGAAAGAGATCGAAGTTTCTATCTGGAAATCCTTTGGGGTTTATTTTTGAACTGACAGCTGAGAATTTGACCAGTCCAGATTAAAGTCGAGTTTTGTGGGAGATTCGGAGTTGGGAAACAACAAGAGCCATCCATATGTTCGTGCTGTGGCGCTCACTCTGGCACTCAAGCGCTAAACAGAAAACAGTTTTTCGACTGCCGCTGCTGCTTTTGTTTCTACTGGAAACTGAGGAGGTGGGCAGTAGAAGAGTAAAAGTCACTGCACAAACTGTGAGAATTACTCATCTGAAATAGTGGTGAATGTTTGAGGGTTTTTTAAAAAAAATTATTTACTTAAAGATAAGGCTGGAATTTGTTTACCTTTTATCCTTTAAAATACCCATCCCATCCATTATACACCGCTTAATCCTCATTAGGGTCGCGGGGGGGCTGGAGTCTATCCCAGCCGACTTAGGGTGAAGGCAGGGGACACCCTGGACAGGTCGCCAGTCTATCACAGGGCCACACTTAGAGACAGACAACCAAGCACACTCACATTCACACCTACGGACAATTTAGAATCACCAATTAACCTCAACATGTTTTTGGACCTTGTGGGAGGAAGCCGGAGAACCCGGAGAGAACCCACGCTGCACGGGGAGAACATGCAAACTCCACGCAGAAAGATTCCTGTGCCCCCACCGGGACGCGAACCGGCAACCTTCTTGCTGCGAGGCAACAGTGCTACCAACTGCGCCACCCTGCGGCCTTTAAAATACCCCTTATTTAAAAAAAAAAAAAAAAAGCAGCTTACACACTCCATCAAAAGGTCTTAAATCAGATAATGCTACTCACCCAGTCCCACAGCAGCATTATGTAAAATAGTTAGCATCTGTGCTCAGGGAGAAGGCAATTTATTGGATTGTTTCGGTTTTGTGCATACATTACATAATGGCCAAGAAGAGCAGCATGCCAGCAACCTGACGTAATCCTTTTAATCTTTCTGTGTATACATACAGAAGGATGTGAGAGCTGCACATTCTCTGATCCTCGTGTCCTTGTGTCTACGTATGGCCCCGTTGTTCTTGAGTTTGGTCGTGTGATTTTAACTCGACTTAGACTTTCTTTATTGTCACTGCACAAAAACACAATCTGGCAACGAAAGAGCCTACGACGAGTTAAAGAAACGGGTCAGTAAGGAGATTTGAAACATGACCATGCAGGAAATTCTGGCTCAATTCACCGAATTTTGCACGGATCTCACTTTATCGCACGCTAGCACCTGAAGGAACCTCGGAATAAAGCAGCAGCCGGGTCTGTGCGGGTTTTATGAGCTGCAGAAGCACATGCGAGCTATAAACACAGTGCCTTCCCTGTCAGAACTAAAGCCGCATATGAAATTTCAGGCCTCCTCAAACCACAAATCAGTCCACTTGAAAAGTCTGTTAAAAACCAGCATAACAAAAGCAGCACTCATTGTACGGCGACAATCTCTCACTTGGCTTTGTCGACGTTTTTGCGGTGGGCCTCTTTGATTAATGTAATTCGTTTAAATAAGCTGTGCAGCGGCCGCATTGCCAGAAACCAGGGCCGGCCCTGACCAATTTGGTGCCCTATAGGCAAGATTGTGGTTGGCGCCCCCGAGCATCACAGTGAATTTCACTCATAATTTTCATGCAGCAACACAAACTGTATGCATGTATTCAAGCTTTTATTTCAGTATAAACAACACACTAAGTGAAACTAATGAAACAAGTGACCGAAGTTCAAAATACCACATAAATAAGGCTTCGTACAATTATAAAAAATATTCTATAGCTTGTTTATTATTTTCACTATTTACAAAACAAGGGCCTGTGGACCACTGATGAATCTGATGTAGAGCTGCTCTCATTTTACTTTAAATCATTTCTGATACAAAGAAAGATCTTTAGTTTTGCTGTAAAAGGTTTAAGTTGTTGAATAAAAATGTGAACGAGCTGTTTGTCAGTGACTTAGTTTAACGATGAAGCTCTATAGAGGTCAGAAAGTTCAAAGGTTGGTCGACTGCCAACCCACATCCACACACAGAGGTGAGATCAGTGCAGGTTCACTGTCAGCCACATGGCAGGAGGGCAGCAGAACTTAGAGCGCTTCAATTTATCTGTTGAAAGTTTCTGGATTTAAAAAAAATAAAATTTCAGTCAGTTTTTTCCAACATTGTGTAGCCCTTTATATATACGTGTGTGTAATTTATTATAATATGGAGAAAACTAAAGTAATTATTATTAGCAGCACTTTAACACTGGAGCAAACTTAGCACCCTATAGCATATAAAGAGGAAGGAAAACTGAGCATTTTAACGGACAGCAGGGAAAATGCATTCAACAGGTTAAAATACCACCTGAACAGGCCTGATATTGACTTTCTAAATATCTCTGATTAATTTAAGGTGATGGAAGCATATTAACGTAAGTCAACTATAGCTATTTAGTGATTATAAACAACGCTGCTATCGTCCAAAATAAGCTAGCAAGTTAGTATTGCTCTGACAACAGTAACTACGATCAATTAACTTAACCAGAAATGTTTGACAGCGTAGCGGGGGTGTCTTAGCGACACTCCCTGGCTAACTGACGTGTATTCAGGCAAATATTTAACCACAAGCGCCGATGCAGTTTCTCTACCGTCGTCGTCGACGTTAGCGTAACGTCTTAGCTGCTAGCGTTAGCAGCTAAGACGCCAACGTCTTCGCTAATATCTTCGCTGCTAATGTTAGCATTATTTGCAAACTTTGCAAAATTAGCAAAATTTGGTGATTTGAGGTGTACTGACTCCTAAGTCCTCTCCTAACAGAAGACATACAGCCGTCCACAATTATTGGCACCCCTGGTTAAGATGTGTTCTTTAGCTTCTAGTAAATTTAGTTTTTTTCTCAATAATATAGGACCACAATGAAAAAAAAGAGGAAAATTCAACCTTTACTTCAAGTGAATTTATTCAGTGTGAAAAAAATCCCACATTAAAAAAATAATTCTTTTACATCAAATCATGTGTGCCATAATTATCAGCATCCTTGATGTTCATACTTTGTACAAACCCCCTTTTGCCAACAATTCATTTGAGTTGAGGTGAAGGTTACATTTTTCTACATTTCTCAGTGTGAGAGTATGTTTCTGCAATAAAAACTGCATTTATTTTAAGGCTTTTAACACATCT